TATGTCAGCCTGAGTCCACTCCCTCTCCTCCTTCCTCTCTTTCAGGCTCCTTTCCTCTCTCCTTCTCTCCTCCTCCTCGTCTCTCCTCAGCTCCTCCTTCAGCTTCCTTCTCTCCTCCTCCTCGTCTCTCCTCACTCTCCTCCTTCAGCTTCCTCTCCTCCTCCTCCTCTTCTCTCCTCAGCTCCTCCTGGAGGAGAAGCATTCTCTTCTCCTTCTCCTTCGTCACCTCTATGTCAGCCTGAGTCCACTCCCTCTCCTCCTTCCTCTCTTTCAGGCTCCTTTCCTCTCTCCTNACAGCTTTGTTTTAGTTCCATGTCGGTCAACGTGTGATTTACTCTCCATGTGTACCTTAGTCTCTCCTCACTCTCCTCCTTCAGCTTCCTCTCCTCCTCCTCCTCTTCTCTCCTCAGCTCCTCCTGGAGGAGAAGCATTCTCTTCTCCCTCTCCTCCCCCACCTCTACATCACCCTTAGTCCTCTCCCTCTCCTCCTTCCTCTCTTTCAGGCTCCTTTCCTCTCTCCTTCTCTCCTCCTCCTCGTCGTCTCTCCTCAGCTCCTCCTGAAGGAGAAGCATTCTCTTCTCCTTCTCCTTCGTCACCTCTATGTCAGCCTTAGTCCTCTCCCTCTCCTCCTTCCTCTCTTTCAGGCTCCTTTCCTCTCTCCTTCTCTCCTCCTCCTCCTCTTCTCTCCTCAGCTCCTCCTTCTCCTTCGTCACCTCTATGTCAGCCTTAGTCCTCTCCCTCTCGTCCTTCCTCTCTTTCAGGCTCCTTTCCTCTCTCCTTCTCTCCTCCTCCTCCTCATTCTCCCTGTCCTTCTTCTCTCTGTCCCTTCTGACTCTCCAGCTTGGCTCCTCTTCCCTTGGGCTCTTTTGGATTTTGAAGAAGGTTTCATCATCGTCTAGTTGGGTGTTGGGGGTGCGGGACAGCCGGCCTCTGGAGGTTTCCGGCCTTTGTATGACCAAAGAGGTGCCGAGGCTTTCCGTTTTTGGATGGAGCCCGACGCCTTGCTCCGAAAGAGAAGAATTTGAGAGGGAGGCGCTGGACTGGTGGAGGACGAATCGGTCCACTTTAGACGCTGAAGGGTTGTCTTTGCTAGAATCCTGCAAAATCCTGAAGAGGGAGAAAAGTGTTACTCTTATAGCAAAGCAAAGAAAAGATGTACCATTGGCCATAAGAGTTTATATGCAGCCCTGCACATGACTTTTTTTGCCCTGGTTCTCAAAGGAGCACCTGGAGATGTTGCTAGGTGCGCATCCTCTGTATCACGAATGTCAACGGGGGAACGGGGGGGGGGGGAGGTGCTAGTGGAGTATGAAGCCCTCTGTATAACGAATGATTGTCCCTTTTGAAGCAGTTGTTGATATACATTCATTAGTTGGGACTTGTGTGCCAAGAATGTGTGGCACAATAATTACTATAGAGTGGCCAAGTCCCTCCCCTTCCGGTGGACCTCCATGGGACCTTATTTCGGAAAAAGTATGTATTGAAGTCAATGGAGAGAGAAAGATTATATTTCGATCCCGTTTGAATTGTGCCACGAATTACACATATGATGTTTGTCAATTTAAAAGATAATTTTGCAAGTCAAAATAATAAAAATGTGTTGTAAAACTGTGAAGTAACACATTTGTTTGTGTGAAACGCTCGATGAACTACATCTCCCGTCTCACACCACACACCAAGACGGCCGTCACGTTGGCACATTTCACTTGTTTCTTTCAGAATGAGGCGAAAAGTATTAAAAGAGGTGAAAATCACTCCAAGTCTGGGCACGTTGAGAGCTGTACATACACACAAGGGGAGTTAGTCGGTTCCGTAAGAGCCAGCATGCGAGACCGGGATTCTGGGATTTGTAGTCTTTCTAGTTGCATATTTTTCATAGTCTTATATTTCAACAGTTTCAACAGTTTTTCGACTTTTTTGACATGGAAATTATTTTTTAAGATTGACAAACATCATATGTGTAATTAGTGGCACAATTCAAACGGGATCGAAAGATACGTTTTCTCTCTCCATTGACTTCAATACATAATTTTTCCGAAGTAAGCTCCCATGGGGGTCACCGGAAAGGGAGGGACTTCGCCTCTCTATTGAGATTTTAGGGGAAATCAAAAAATTGATCAAATCATGAATTTCCAATTTTTGGTGAAACACTATAAAAAACCTGATAAGGACAATACCCCTTTACCAGATGATGCAATTAAGGCTAAGCACGGACTCTTATTTCCAGAAGTTACCAAAGAAAAACAACCAACCTCTTTGCAACCTCTGCCTTCTTCGTCTTTGTCCCTCCTTCTTTCTTCTCTTCCTCTTTTGTCTCCTCCCTCTCCAGAGGACTCACAGTGCCGGACAGGTCCAGAATCTTTTCGGAAAGCTTAAGGATTCAAAGCAGTTTGACAATTAACACCCTAACCAATGAATGAATGAATGGTGCAGAATGGGTGGCGACAGCATGAACTGAGTACCTTGACATCTATGGAGGATGAAGCCTCCTCAATGTTCTCACTGGCTTCAGACTCCTACCATCACACACACACACACACGCACGCACACACACACACAAAGTTATGAATGAACAATGGCAAACTAAATTTCAGAAGCAACACTAAGCATCAAAGAATGCTGAGATTTCCAAATGACAAACACGTCACAAAAAGGCGAAAGCAACAGCATACATGCAAACACAAACAACAAGGCTGCGAAATCAGACGGTCCAGTGTTTGTAAGCGAAACAAGCAGACTCTGAAAATTGGGGGAGGCCAAGGAGAAACTGGTCTGGTGAAAAAGCTGAAAATAAAAGAGCAATCTAAAAGCAAAAGGAAAGTCTGTACTGCCAAATATAAAGGGTCAGCACTTTCCAATCCAGTCCTCAGGGGCTCAAATGCAGCGTCCTTTTACCAAATGATGTCCCAGTGTGTGAGCGATGAGCCCCTAAGGCGGTGGATTCTGGGAGCTACATGCGCCTTCTTGCAGAGATCAGGCAGGATCAGGGTTGGGGTCAGGAAGTGAAATGTGTGTGTGGTTTGGCTGGGGGAAGCACACAGAACACCGAACCCTACCTCTGCAGGAGTGAGGGACCTTTTTGTCCCATTGTCCGTCTTGCCACTGAGAGTTTTTCTCTTTTGGTCAAGCGCTTTACGATCACTCAGAGCCGTTCCGGTCTCAAACACCTCCACGACTTCCTCCTCACTCTCCGATGCAGTTTGGGGCTTTTGGACCTCTGATACGTCCTCTTCCTCCCCCTCTTCCTCCCCCTCTTCCTCCCCCTCTGTCTCTCCTCCTGCGCTCTGTCCACATCTCTCTAGCACCTCGTCGCTCTCTGTCACTTCCCTCTGGCTCAGGGAGCATCTCTCCAAAGCTTCCTCGTTCTCACCCTCCTCCTCCTCCTCCTCCTTCTCCCTTTCCCCATCTATCTCCTCCTCGCTCTTCTCCTGCCCTTCTTCGATATCTACGCTTTTCTCAAGTTCATCCCCTTCTTTTTCCTCCTTTTCACTTCCAACATCTTGACCACTTTTGGAAGATTTCTTCAAATCTTCATCGCTACCGTCCTCAAATTCATATTTATCTTCTTCTTCTGCTTGCACCTCTTCCTTCGCCTCTTCTTTCTCTTTATGTAAACTCTCCCCTTCAGCACAACAGCCCTTATCACTGTCCCTTTCCTCTCTTTCATTGCTCTCCTGCTGTTTACTGTGTTCAATGTTTTCGGACTCTTCATCACCGCCTTCGCCGCACTCCACTTCTATCTCGTCGCTCTCTTCCTCATCCAACTCCTTCTTGCTTTCTATAGACCTTTTACTTCCTCCCTGCTCATCCTGCATCTCATCCACTTCTTCTTTGACTTTTTCCTCGTCCCTATCTTCCTCACCTCCTCTCTCCTCCGTCCCTCCCTCCCCTGCTTCATCCTCTCCCTTTTCTACCTGAACATCCTCCTTCTCCTCCTCCTCCTCCTCCACCACCTCAGTTAACTCTTTTTCTATTTCCTGTTCAGGACGGGCCACCTCCTCACTGACGTGGTTTCTGCTGCCCCTCAGTGAGGACAGGTGGAGGTGGCGGCCCCTCAGAGACTCCTTGGTGGAGGGGAAGAGGAAGAACAGTCCGTCCGTCCCAGACAGAGGCACAAAGGAAGGCGTGCAGAGACACAAGGGAGAGAAAGGGTGGAGGAGGGCACGTAAGGGAAGGAGGTAGACAACAAAAATTGTAACCCCAAATTGAAAGACTGTAGGGGGGGGGGTGGTCTTATTATTATTGCATGCAAACTGGCGGATCGGCAAAATGAGCCATGTTAGACAACCAACACATGGATTATTAAAAAAGACAGATGCACAAATAAACCCATGCAGGTAGACACAGAAAACCATACACATGTTGTTGTTCTGGGTCTCTATAATGCTCAAAAACACACACACACACACACACACACACACAC